CGCTCCCAACGAAATTCTGGCAAGTGCTAAGAAATAGGTTCGCCTTCAGCAGTTCCCTGTAGATGGGTTGAACTGAGAGCGCAAATCGACCTGGGAAACGCCAGGCGCCTCTTACGAGTGCTTCTGTGCGATGAAAACCCTTTTGCTGAAATATGCAGCTGCAAAGAAACACGTTTTGCAGAAAACAACCTGCATCTCCTTCTTCTTTCTGCGGCCTGACACAAGTTCTTTGTGCTCTCAAAAGCTAATGTCCTCTCAAGAAGCCATTGCGTTGTTGGGACGAATGGGTAGACTGAGCACGCAGAACGCAGCTCAATGAAAGGTCTTTGATCCAGCCAAAATTGTCCGCCCACTGCGTCATATTGGCTATAATCAATGCGCCAAATGGTTTCACTTCATTGATAGCATTTGCAGCAAAGTCATGGACACATTTCAATCGCTCGCCCTTCTTCGGCTGTGCTTTGCTACACGTGGCCGACTGAGGCAAAGTGTGCTCGCCGTTGTCACAATGTCTCTGCACACGAACGGCCAGAAACATGTGCAAACTTGTCAATTGGGTTCAGCTTCAACACGCTAATGAAGCTTTGCTTCAATCTCATCATTTTTGTGCGTGAAATGACGCTGCTCGCATTTCTCTGCGAACTACCAGTAGAACCAACCACCTTGACAACCGTCCATAGCAATTTCTGCACCTGCAAAAGCAACCAACTGCCGAAACGTTTTTGCTTGTCTGAGCCAGCCTAGTTGAGTCAATGGCATGAGAGCGTGCAAGCAAACTAGGGGCAAAGCCATTGGGGTACCCAGACTGACAGGTATTCGCAAGGACTTCTGCGAACCGCGCACCCTTCTACAAACTTCTGCGAAGGCAAACAGCGTTAGCGCGAACCTTTGGGGAATAGCAAAGAAGTCTGCCGCGAACCCCCAAAACACCTACAGCCCCCACGTGGGTTGTGTGGGCCCCAAATTACTTCCACGAAGCTCTGCGAAGGGCAATCCACCTACTTCTGCTGATTGAATGCCTCGTTCGCTTTCCGTCGACAAACACTTTGGGGACAGGGTTCTCTTCACACGAACAGCTGGCCTGCAGGCGCAACACGCTTTGCCCCTGCAAGTACAAGATGTGCATCCTTCCTTGAGATCCTTCCTTCCTTCAAACTCAGCATATCGTCAATCTGTCTAGTTATGTCATCTACGCTGGGAAAGCGCAAGGACTTCTTCGCTCTTGCTCAGCACCGAACACATTTGAGGACTCAGAGCGTCGAGCAGCTTCGAAACTGTCAAGCGAGGGTGCGACTTTAAACAACAGCCTCCTTGCCAGCAAAAACTGCACCATCTGGACATTTCGGACCTTGGGTTGCACATTTCGGACCCAGCCAACCACCACCCGGTGGCCTACATCAGTATTCAAGTCTTCTAAGGAAAACAAACTGGAAAATCTTGCATAGGTCACAAGGATGCGATTAGAAAGTAAATAGTTGATCTTTTAGCCTTCCAGCTGATGTAGTGCCACCAAGACACTCTTGTCAAATCCACCATCATTGCGAGCGTAGTCTCTGGCACACAGAAATGAAGACCAAAGACTTGAGCCCAGCTCCGGAAGGTCGTTGGAAGTTATTCAGCGAAAAGGTAAACAAATTGGAACCCACGAGCCTGGATGCACACATGTACTCAGCAACAAGTGACCAAATATTTTTTGACACTCTGGTGGGACGCTCTTGTGGGGCACTCTTGTGCGACAGTCTCATAGGACACTCTGGCGGCGCAGTCTTGGCGGACACTCTTGCGGGACACTCTTGCAGGACATACTTGTCTCCAAAACGAGCGTTTCACACGAGACGTCTTCCAAGAATCATGCGTCAAGTCTCCAAAGTGAGCGTTTCATACGAGACGTCTTCCAAAAGTCATGCGTCAAGTCTCCACAGCGAGCGTTTCGTACGAGATGTCTTCCACAAGTCACGCGTCAAGTCTCCAAAGCGAACGTTTCGTACGAGACGCCTTCCAAAAGTCATGCATCAAGCCTCCAAGGCGGCGATCTTCATTGCCACCGCAATCTCGAAACCTACCAGATATCGTTTTTTCTCAACATAGAAAGTTATTGCGCGTCGCACCTTGTCCAGAGGCTTCCGCCCCGCCACACGGAACTCAGGTAGTAGCTACCAGTACCAAGCGCACTTCCGGTCAACGTCTATGACCATGAACGACCTCCACCTCCACCACCCCCAGAAGAAGACACTGAGAGTGGCAACATTGGCCGAGAAGAAGGCTATTCAAGACGAATGTCAACTGCCTCTGGTCAGCCTCTTCTTGCTTCAGAAGGTGCTTCTCGACAAGTGTCTGCTCCTGACCAACCTGGTGTCGACTTATGGCTCCTACATGGAAGTGGATTTAGACTTCAGCAGCAATCGCAAGCTGAAGAACTTCTTGCGGTCCCCTGCAGCATTTCTGGTGGCCAAGCTTCGTGATTGTGAATTTCGTAGCTCTTCGCTCGGGCAAAGAACAAAGAAGTCTCCTCCTTCATCCAGGCAGAAGCTGTTCGCAAGTGCCTCAACCATGAAGAGGAACAAAAAGCCAAGGCCAGTGGCCGCATTCTTGGCTGTCGCTGGGTTCTCACGTGGAAAACCACCCCACCTGAAGATCTGGAAGACGCTGCAAGAGAAGCGATAGAGAAGAGTGAGACAACCGTCTTGACCGCCGATGGCAAAGCTCGCGTCGTGCTCCTGGGATATCAACATCCTGACATTGCTGAGCCCGAGTACCGGTCTAGTGCACCTGTTCAGTCAGCTGTGACTCGTCACCTTGCCTTTCAGCTGACGGTCCAACAGCAATGGACTTTGGGGGGTCGTGACCTTGCAACAGCCTTCCTCCAGACAGGTCAAACGCAGGAGTCTTCGCCTGTGGATGACTGGCGTCAAAGAGCTGCGTGAAGGTTTGCAGGTCAGTGATGGTGGTTTGCTTCGCATCCTCAAGGACTTCTATGGCAGCACCACGGGTGGGAGAGTCACTTTGGAACACAAGTTTTGTTCACTTTGGAACACAAAACAGCCCAAAAACATGGAAGGGTTAATAAAAAGCGAGATCACTTTGGAACACAACACACCTGGTTTTTTGGGTCAATTTTGAACACACACACACAGACACGGATGGGGAGGGTTTAAAGATGAAGGATGGGGTGGGTGGGGGGGGTGGGGGGGTGTTAATAACGTCTGTCTGAACATTCATCTACATGATGATCTCTTTTTGCTAATTGCTTCCACAGTACCATAACAAACGCAATCGTGGGCATTCGTAGGCATCTTGCTAGTGGTTACGGTGGTCTCCAATCTACTATCGATGGCCTCCATAGTAGTAGCGATGGCCTCCAACCTACTAGCGATGACACGCGTTCCGAAGCGATCACATTCCCGCGTTCCGAAGCGATCGTTTTTCTGCGTTCCGAAGCGACTACCTCACCAGCACCACGCACCCCCGTGGTTTGTCGCGTGGAGAGGGGTTGACTCCACCTTCCAGCGTCTGGGTGCACACAAGGTGTTGGGTGATCCATGCACTTGGATCTGGACTGAACCTGTTGAGGAGCCTCGCAACGATGGAGATCGACATCGTGTGATTGGCTACATCTCAGGCCATGTGGATGATTTCAATGGAGACACCTCATACCCTCGCTGGCTTCAGGTGAAAGACCAGATCAACAAGGCGTATGGTTGGGGCACCGTCAAGAGTGGAAGCTACAGGCACGTTGGCGCCGACATTGTGGAAACACACAATTCCAAAGACGGCCGCTATTTGGAGATCAATCAGGACTTCTATACAGAGACCCTGGCCGCCCTGGCCGACTTGGACATTGATGCCAAGATGTGGCATTGACACCACAGGAGATTGGCAAGTGCAGGGCAGCTTTGGGAGCAATTTCATGGCTTTCGATCCAGACTCAGCCATTGCTCTGTGCCCGGACAAACCTGCTTCTCTCGGATCTCGAAAGCCGTCCATGCAAGTGGCTCACAGGAGATTCAGCAGTTGGTGAAAAGGCCAGGAAGGCCCCAACAAAGCTGGTCTTCAAGAAGATCCCCGCCGTGCAGCATTGGCAAGACATGGTCTTCATCACACTCGGTGACCAAGCACACCACAACCGGCGGATCCACCGGAGGCCTTGTGTCGTTCTTTGGAGGACCGGAACATCTCCAAGGACAGCCTGGCCCGCTTTCGTTGATTTCCTGGAAGACATGGAAACTGAAGCGTGTGGCGATCTCTTCCAATGACGGTGAGATTCAAGCCATGGTGGAAAGTGAAGACGTGAACTTCAGAACAGGTCTCCTGTGGAGTGAAATTCACGGTGCAGGTGTTGATCGGCCCCCAGGTGATCTTTTAGATCAAGCAGAGTTGCAAGTGTCCTTCGTCAAGGGCATCTTTGGCACTGACAGCAAAGGAGGGTTTGATGCAGTGACACTGCAAGAAGGGCCATACCTAGGCCTCTCGAACGCAAGGTCAGCTGTGCAAGCTTTCCAACTAAAGCAACCCTTTCAACGTGCTGGCACTCGCTTTCAGGTGACTGGATGCTGGGAGATGCAATGACCAAACGGTCATCCGAGTGCCGCCGCGGGATGATCCAGTTCTTGAGACAATGGTTCTGGATGCTTTCCTATGACCCGCACTTCGTGACCAGTGCTCGGAAAGCGAAACAGCTGGGCCGAGAAGCCACTCGTGTGATGCGTGCACACGCCTGTTCGCAACCAATGTAAAGTTGTGGCCCGTGCAACATGCATGGTTCGTTGGCCGCTCACTGAGGTCATGGTACTTCCGTGACAATCCTTTTCACTCAGGCCTTGAGCCAGCCCCGGCTCGCGCGTGGAAAACGAGCGATGGTTCGTGGGCACTTGTGAGTGCGTTGGGATTCAGCTAAGGTGTTAGCTTTGGACCTTCGAGTGTTGGCACCGCCCTTCGTTGTTGGTTCTTGGTTGTGTTGGAATCTACCAGTTGCAACTGCACTAGTTGCAGTATCCTAAAACGATGTCACGCTCATGACGGTTTACCTTCTCCTCAAGACGTTTAAAGAACGTCCCTTTTTACCAAATCTCGTTTCCTTCTATCTTCTTCATTTACAGTACTCATCCATCGTGTTGATTTTTGATAATATTTCTTTAAGCATATCATGATCAACCAATAAAAGTACTGCAATGTAAAACCATCAAATGGGAAACGTATGCAACACTATGGTTCTTCCCTTGAATTAAGGACGAAGCGTTCGCACTAATGATTTGGTTCTAGTACAACAATAAAAGAACATGACGACCTCAAAAACATGGGCAAAAGAGACCGAAAACTCGATGAAAAGTGAGAGAGAAGCAGACATGAGAACCCTCATCAGCAAACTGTATGTGTTTAAATGTCACGCCCTACCTCTGAGAGAAGCGAGAGCGGGTGCACGCTGGAATTCCTTACTGTGTGATCACGTTCAGAGAAACGGAACAAGGTCATTCCTTCCTGTCCGGTCACGTTCACCTTTCCCATCGTGATGGTTATGAACACTCCAGATTCGTGCGGTATATATTGTTCCTTCTTTTTCATCGTGTTGTTTTACCACATACGGAGTCCATGGCGTGGACCAATTTGTGCTGATGTATCGTGTTTTGAAAGAAACTAACTACATCACAGCAAGAGCCTCAACCAAAGATTACAACAGAGTAATCCAGAGTAGTTTGATCATTTTACTTCAAGTGTTGTTAAAGAAAACAGGTGGACAGTGTACAAGACCTTTGACCCTTTGCAGCACTAATCCTTTTTCAAAACAAATGCTCGCCTTCAGAGACTTCTTAAACACATGCATCTTGGAAACCTTTATCCTGAAAAAGACTTTGCACCCTTCATCTCAACTCTTTTCAACAAGGTTTGTAAACCCTTCTTCATCCCAAGGCTGTTGAACCCTGCATCCCAAGTCTTTGAACAAAGTTTCAGAGCCCTTTGTCCCTGAATTTGAACTCTGCGCCTCACATAGTGGGCCCTTCTTAATCCCAAAGACTTTGCGCCCTTCACCCCACGTCTTTTCAACAAAATGAGTGAACCCTTCTTCATCCCAAGGTTTCTGAACCCTTCAGTCATATGACTTTGAACTCTGCACCCCCAAGTCTTTGAACACAGTTTGTGAGCCCTCCTGCATCTCAAAGTCTTGAGCCCTGCATCCCAAGTCTTGAAACCAACAAACTTAAACATAAATTAGCTCTTTTGGGAGATTTGTTTCTCTACTTGAAGAGTTTATTCATCAGTTTTGGGATGCTTGGGGAGTTGCCAGGCTATGATTGAGTGTGGTAGGGATTGGACCAAAGTTTCAGTTTCCCCCTGTCCTTCCAACAAATGCATTTAAATCACATGATGCCAAGAGAACTGTCCCATCCCTCCCAAGTTATAAGGACCAGCGGCTCCACAGAAACAAGTATGATGCTTGGTACTGGCAAATTGAACCATGCTTCTTGCATGGGTTTGGTGGTCTTGTACTTTTTTGGTGTGCTGTTGGGTTAGTGTTTCACGTGTGGCGTGGAAACAGCTTCTTGATGACGATATCACAGTTTTGCTCTCAGAATCGCATTTTTTTCTGATATGTTAATTTGTGGCTGAGATCTTCTCGCCCTCCTTGATAGTTCTTTGTGTGGGTCCTGAGGCCAATAACCGGTGCAATATCTGGAACATGCCCCCACAAGACATGTCAAAACCTAATGAAAAATTGAGTTCAGAAGTTGCGGTCATGTTGAGTTTTGTTTTATCTTTGTCCACACACACTTGTTGATGCCTTTCTGGGATTTAATAGGTTTTTGTTCCTGATCCTGTACGCACGATGCAAACAACAAATAGATACACATATAGTTATAAGAAAAACAGGACATCCGAGATCCAAGAACTATAGAGGAAAAAACCTTCCTGCCTTGGAGCGTCCTTGAGATCGTAGTTTGCTCTTCACATTCGATTTTTTAAAAGTTTTTTTATAACCCCAATGAAACTGCTGTTTCATCATGATATTATGGCTCAAACTGAGTGGTGGTTTTTTTGGGTGCTTGGAAGTATACACTCCGCAGCATGTATACGCGAGCGCCTACGCGACATATCAAAAGTATGTGAGGTAGCCTACGCGAGCATGTTCCAGATCGAGGGTTTTGATGAGGTACCTACGCGGTCGATTACGCGAGGCCTTTTTTGCATGCTGCCTTCACGGAGCAGATGCAGATGAAGAAGATGAGGATGCAGAAGAAGACGAGCTTGAAGATGAAGACAGCAAAGCCTGTGCCTGTCGGCGCTTCTTAGAAGCAGCCTTGGTCAGTCTGTCCTCGGCTTTTTTCAGCAAAGTCTCAATGTCCCCAGCAGGGCCAACAGGCTGATGAGCCCATCTCGATGGGCGCGCAATACATTTTCCTCAGCAAACCCCTGTTGTCGAAATCCCTCACACAGTGTTCGCACTGTGATCCCCAAGAAGCATACAGCAACAAGGTCACTCATATCCCTCAAGATCTACTTCCTCAAACTTCAAGTACCAGCCACCAAGCAAGTCAACTAAAGGATGAATATCGGTCCATTGTTCTTTCCGTGTTACAGGTTATTAGATTTACTCCAAGTTACAACTACGCATTCCGCCTACGCGAGGCACTACTATGTTTTCCTACGCGGTTGCCTACGCAAGCTTACGCCCCCAAGCAGAATAGCCTACGCAGCATCAAGAGTAGTTCCACTTTTGTATAAACTCTTTCATAGACAAAAAAAACCGCTGCTCAACTTATATAAAATGGGTTCGACATTCTATAAGTTGTTTGTATTCGTTTTTGCAAACTGGCTGATTTGACCAACCATCAAATCTGTCGGTGACATCCATTTTATTTAAGAATCCTTTTTGGATAAGCTGGACCTAAATGAGTAATCTAATTGTTCGCGCTCGACCACACCCATTATAGCAAATCGATAGCAACGGGGATCATTCAACCTGCCGTTTTTCTGAAGATGTTGGACTCTTGGGAACAATGAGCCTTCACAGGTGCCTTCGAAGAATTAACTATTGAACCATCGCTTCTAAACAGGCCAAAAGGAAAACCATTCTTCAATCTACTATGGTTTCATTGTGTGCAAGCAGTGATGCATTTAAACGAACATGCGCAACAACAACAACAACAACGACGACGACGACGACGACGACAACGACAACGACAACGACAACGACAACGACAACGACTGAATACCGCACAACTCGACAAACTTGCTAACAATCCGCACCAATATATTATAAGTATAGTAGAACTTCCGGATGCAGCATGAGAAAAATCAACAGTACGACTAACTTCAACGTGGTTCAAACGAAGCACGTGGCCATCCTGGCCCAACCGTGAACTTGTCAACATGCATTTTTGCAACTTCGCAACCGCTGCAACTTGGAAACCATGTCCAAGCTCATCGAGCTTGCCGCTCCGCATGTAAGCCAAAACTCGTCTTTGATGGGGCAGACAAGGGCCCCCTTGACCCTCGGACCACCAGGTTAGTGCCCGAGGTGAAGAGGTGAATAGAGAGTGTCATCTCCCGACGATTCTCACTCTGCTCACTGTGCCAACTAGGGGGATGGTGCATCACCACCATACTGTACTCAAACTGTTCTTCTGCAAAAGCCACTTCGATCCCAAGGTCAGGGCTGCGGAAAGGCTCGAAGCATACAAGGGTGTGTCGCACGTGGCATGTCTACATGTCATGTGTTTGGAGCTATCTCCTCTGTACTTGCCATCAAATTTAGCATGGGCAACTCACCCTGATTGTGTCAAGAGAGGAAGCAATTTGCCCCAATGGTGCGGCTCAGGCAAAGCAACGGCAACAGGATCACTCGTTTGTACGAGTAGCTGGTTTTCAGCACTCGGCCGTGCAATCCAACGTGGACAGCAACAGTGTGCTCTTGCACTATGACGGTGGAGACAATGCAGTCGAACCAAGAATGGCAACGGGTTCATCACACATCAGGCGCGCTGTGGGTGCTTTGGCCAGGCGCCAGTTTACAAACCATGTCTGACATTGCGGAACCTGGTTTTGACATTGCGCCGACCTCGATGTTTGTGGGTTCAGCGTGCAAGAATGGACAAGGCGAAACGGCAGCTCAGGCTTGAGGACGCGAAACTTATTTCTGGTGAGGTTTATCAGCTGAAAAACCTACACGGAGGTGTCACACATATCCAGTCTGCAAGTCTGCGAGCCTAAGAGCTTGACCCTATAGGTCTGACGACAAACTGAGCGTGGAGAGCTTGTCAACCAGTGAACAATGTTTCAATGGCCACTGCTCACGTTTCAACGTTTCAATCAAACGATGCTGCAAATTTCCTTGCCTTGCGGGCCTATTGTCTGGCTTGCCCATCAGCCATAGAGCCTTAAGGCAATTCAGAGATCACGGAACGGAAGCCAAATGCAAGCGTGCTGTATTTTCCAAGCCCCAGGAAGGTCCCGTGACCCGAAAGCATCAAGAAAATGGCGCGTAAGTTATGGTTTATGCACAAAAGCTTGGCGGGCGCAGGCATCAATGGGTTCCACAGCCCAGCATGTTTGGCAAGCTCGCTTGTGCCAAACAACATCTTCTTGGCTGTGCAATATGCCTTCTGAAGAGATTGAGCAATCCACACTTCTTCTGCCCATGGGGCTTTAGGCTTTGTGCGTCACTGAATCTCACCCGCGCATCACTTAAGGGCAAATGTATCTTTCAATCACTCACGCA